ACATATAGTAATAAAATGATTATGAGTAATATCAGTTCAAGCAGAGGATATTAGGATGATCACTCAAATTTCTTGCCCCAAGGGTATGTCCATGTTTGTGCCCCCCGAGTATGTCTTCCTCATTGAAGGGTGATAGGGTTTTACCGCGGGAGGGTTGTTAACTTGAAGAACTCCTTTGTTTGTACTAAAAAAGATAGCGTGATATGATAGTAATATGATAATGATAACAGATATTAAAGCATGAAAAGGTTTTAGAAGTACCTCGATCTCGTAATAAATTAATTATTCGAGAAAGTGTTACCTCGATTCCAAGAAGGTAGTAGTTGAGTAGATAAAAGTCGAGATACATCTTTTCGAACACTTTAAGTAGTAGTATGGTGTTCAAGGGATGGTTGCCCCTTCGAGGAGATGTATCTCTCAAAACTTCAATCTTTGAAATTGCCCCTTGCTTCGAAGGGCTTGAGAGATTATCCTTTAACGGCCTGTTCGTCGGTTTGTTTAGGTCGGCATGGAAGTCGACAACGTCTTCATCGTCGATTGGAGCAACTCGACAAAAACATTGACAGAACTGTCTCGATCAGATCTACGATCGAAAGAAGTCGACACGAAAGCCGACGGTTGTCAGTATGGGAATTTTCAAATTCTTGATTTTGGCTTTCACGTACATTGATTTGCAGATCATATTAACCCAATGATGATCGTAAAGTACTAATAAATTTCAGCTTCGTTTCAAGAAATTTATTTGGTTGTGAAGACCAAACAAATCGGTCCCACCGGGCATGCCACTTGACGAAGCATAGATTTGTACGGTGCTTAGGACGGGCGGCGATGATGACCTAGGCAGCGGAAGACGGTCTAAAACCTGCAAGACAGATCCTTGGGTGTCGAGGATAGATTCTCCGATGCTTAAGTCAATAAAGAAATAAAGAGAATAGAGAGAGAGAAAGAGAGGGATGTGCATTGTGTGTAGAACGTGTGGAAGATGGGTAGAAGATGTCAAATATGGGAGAGGCACCACCTCTTTATATGGAGGTGGTGTTACCTGTTTCCTTAAACCTAGTCGGAATAGGTTTAGGTAGTGACTTAGCCTTTAAGTAATCTAACCCTAGCCTTTAACACTAGGGTTCAATTCGGACTCGTCACATCCCATAAAAGAAAAGTAGCACAACCCTTATGAACTACGACCTGAACATGAATTTTGTACTTGAACAAATCGAATATTGATTGTAACTGCACACCTTAAAAAGCATATCAACAAAATTACCTTGGGGTGAACCCAACCTCTGTGTCATCACATTTTGGACCGTTGAAAGGTATAGATTCGGGGGTGGTATTAGTTGGATTAGAAGAAGATCCTTTAATCTTCCTCTCAACATTGATAATCTTAGAATCACCATCGATATCTGATCGCTTTACAGATCTACGTCACTTTCTACATACAGTGTAGAACCAATCATCACGCTGCAATATGCACGCAATGGTTGCCATAGAAACAAATGGGTACTGCTAAACCAAACAAATGTAATTAGATATTCAAGTGTAACATTTCATTTATAAACTCACAACAAAATGAGTTTATCAAAATGTTCACACCTGGTTGCTATTGGTCAGATCAAAAATTCTTCTAGGCTGCAAACCAAAAAGGAATTCATATTGGAATGAACTTGTGAGACAGGATGTCAGATGATTGACCAAATTGGAAGAAGTTTCTTGGCCATTGGCAGCTATCATCCTTAAACATTTGAACAAGAAAAAATATATACATCGGAAACATTAAACTCTAATTTAGGAAAGGAATGTCGGGAACCAAATTTTTTTAATTAATACATTTTGGGTTTCATCTAGATTAATTCATCTGCTACTTTAAATCATTTTCTATACTATATCCTTTTTTTAGGCTCACCAACTAATTCAAATTGATAGGAAAGAACCGAATATATCACAAACAAATAGGAAATTCAATCCAAAAGGGAATAGAGTATTTGGAAATTATCCACCCACACTAAAACGGTGAGTTCTTCTTATCCTAAATTCAAGAAGAAGAACCAGCCGCAAAAAAGAATCTTTGGGCAATTCCAATTTTGAATAGAATTAAAATGACAATTTCAACAAATCATCATACTTCGAATCATATATCAGTAAATATGAAGCAAATGAAATCACAAGAAAAACTATGACCGGAATAGCCAATTTTTGGGCATCAAAAGATAAAAGCAACTTAAGGGGTGCTGAGAAATTATATATAAGAAATCAATAAATACATCATTATCTTTTCATCAATTAAGAAAGTTTGAAAGTATGAAACATCACCGGATTTAGCAAAAGTTGGTTTCTAAACTTTGGGCACACGAACATTAATCTTCCAGTCGTTTTTCACCTTCACTAGGGTAAACTCCTTATATAATCGAATTCTTGAGCCATTCGGATAATTGAAAGTAAAATTTTCTTAATCGAATATAATTTTTTGGGTTTCGACTGCAGTGGTTGTCGAAGAACTACATCCTCAATCGATCTTTTATAAAGAGGATTGTAGGTGGATTATCAGAATTGAAATCTCGATAATATTAGTTACAGATAAAAACTGCAATATAGAATTTGAACTTCACCGGACGAAGATGATATCCCAAATCCCCAAACCCAAATGGAATTTTGAGATTCAAAGACTGAAGAAATTGGGGTTGGAATCTTCAAGATTTTATTGTTTAAGATTAGAGTGAACCTTAAAACAAGTCATCAACCTTTGATATATTTTCATTCTAGGTCATCAATTAAATTTATTTGTAACACATGTTACCTTACTAAAGTTTTAATCCATTTCAGATTATTCCGTTAATTTTGGTCATTAAAAAGTGACGGAAATCCATTTTTCACATGCTTTTGGGTTTAGGGGTATTTTTGTCATTTTATTATTATTTTTATTTTTTAATCTTTTAAAAAAATTATTTTTTTTTACAATTCTTCTTCTTATACTTCTAACTTGTATACACTGGTAGTATAATTTTAAATTTTAAAAATTTATTTTTCCTTTTGTATTTTAACTTCTAGATTATAAAATTTTTTTAAAAAAATTTAAGAAATGAAGAAGAAAAATTCGAGTTAAAGTAAACATGAAAATTAATAATTTACTATTTTAAACCAAAAAAAAACTAAAAGAATGAGCTAAGACAAGTTGTTTCTTGTAGGTTATTTAATTTTTTTCAAATCGATTGAATTATTTAATTATTAATTTTCATATTTCTTATTCCTTTTTTTTTTATAATCTAGAAGTTAAGATACAAATGACAAAAAAATTCATTTTTGAAAATTAATTTGTCATTTGTATCTTAACTTGTAGATTATTAAAAAAAAGGAATAAGAAACGTGAAAATTAATAATTAAATAATTCAATCGAGTTGAAAAAAATTAAATATTCTAGAAGAAACAACTTGTCTTAGCTAATTATTTTATTTTTTTGTTTAAAATGGTAAATTGTTAATTTTCATGTTTACTTTAACTCGAATTTTTCTTCTTCATTTCTTAAATTTTTTTTAAAAATTTTATAATCTAGAAGTTAAAATACAAAAGGAAAATAAATTTTTAAAATATAGAATTATACTACCAGTATATACAAGTTAGGAAGTATAAGAAGAAGAATTGTAAAAAAAATAAAAATTAAAAGATCAAAAAATAAAAAAAATAAGAAAATGATAAAAATGCCTCTGAACCCAAAAACATGTGAAAAATAGATTGTCGTCACTATTTAACGGCCAAAATTAACAGAATAATCTGAAATAGATTAAAACTTTAGTAAAGTAACATGTGTTACAAATAAATTTAATTGATGACCTAGAGTAGAAATATATTAAAGGTTGATGACTTGTTTTAAGATTCACTCTTAAAATTAAAAAAGCATCCAATCAAAACAGAAGATTTGGCAGAAGATTGGGTAAGATTTTATGAGTTGTTCGTAAAATCTGTGAAGGGTGATTTTTATTCTGTCGTTTCGTTTTTTTCTTCATTGAACATATAATTATTTTGTCCTTTTTAATAAATTAAAAATTAGAGAAAATTACCAGTCTTATGTGGCAAATAGAAAATTATCTCAGTTTTACGTTATATGGATATTTTTAAAGTTTTACATTCAATTAGAAGAATATACAAAATAAAATTTAAAACAAATTAAAATATATTATAATAAGAATTGGAGAGTCGGAGGGAGTACAATCCTGATATTATCATCACGTACGAAACAAAACTTTGAAACACCAAACCACATTTGAAGACTTTATTTTTTCTTTCTTTTCTTTTCTTTTTTTTTTTCTCGGTTCCATTTTAAGAAGGCTATGGTCTACTTATCTTAGCTGCCAATGACTTTGTTGATGACGATTCTTGGTCCATAATCATGGACCACATTTATTAATTTTGCGGTGGATTAGTTAATCAGATAATATTATTATTCACTGTTTTTAAAGTCATTAGTTGTTGTTGAGTCTATACGAAGTGGAAGAGATCTTCTCAATTATATTCATCATTTGGTACCGAACAATTTCAGTACTCCTGCGGTCTTTATTAATGTTCCAAAATTATTGTTAGTTTAAATTTTCATTTTTAGAATATTTTCTATAAAAAAAAATTTAAACTGAACAATTATTTTGAGACGGATGAGAAGTATAAGATATTTTGATTTGTCTATATTTTATTTATAAAAATATACCTTTAAGATTTTATTTTCAATCGAAAGAATATAAAAATTACTAACAAATCAAAATGTTTTATAATAAGGAGGAAGAAGCATTTCAAAAAAATATAAACGAACTGGACTATTAAAAAAAAAAAGACGGAATAAATTCGAAAATTGAACTCAATCAACAAGAGTCTGTGATGACCACGCGGCAATGGTCCAGCCAAAGAAGCAGTTCTGTGTGCTGGTTTTGCTCCCACAAACACAGAGTCCCAACCCGGAAGGTTAACAGAGTGCACTGCATTGTGCCATCATCATTGGGGCCCATTATTGTTCAGTTATGGCGGCCTTGCACTTTTCCCCCATATCATCAACACTCAAGCCACCATGTTTCTTCAGAGACCAAGAAAGACCCACTCCATGTCTGCCCAACCGGAAACCCTTCTTCATTTGTTCCGCCACAGCTTCACCGGAATCTTCCTCAACTCCGGAAAAGCCCGTAATCGAGCTCGAATTCGTAGGGGTATGTATGTGAAGTGAACGAATGCTTTGTTTCTGTTGCTGCTTAAAATCCCACTATTTCCGATTAGTGGTCATATCAAATTTATTATACCGCATTCTAATTTTTCTCTTATTTGGGGGGAAATGAATTTGATTGAGTTTAAAGTTTTGTAACTTTCTTTGTAGCCTAAACAAGATGCAGATGGGAAGTATCCAGTGGAGAAAGCCACCGCAGTGAGTGGGGAGAAGCTGTTGAGGAATATCATGTTGGATAACAAGATTGAGCTCTATGCCACGTATGTAAGTTTTTATTTTCCAATTGTCCACCATTTTTGAGTTGAAAGAAAACTTTTAAACTTCAATACTTTTAAGTCTTGGGGACTGGACATAGGGATGGAGAAGTAATTATTACTGTAGAGAATCCTCTGTAGAATCCCGAAAAGTAATTGGTTTTTTGATGTAGGTTGCTTTGGCTGCTAGTTTTATCATTAGAATATAGTATGAAACTGTAGAAGAGGTGGCAAGAGCATTTCCTGGTAATCGGAGCTTTATTTACATGTAACCCTTCAGTTGGGTTCAAAGTTATGAGTGCAAATCCATTGGTGAAATGACATAGTTTTGAGTTTTGGGATTTAAGATTAGGATGCCGTATGTATGGACAAATCATTTGTGGTTTTACGAATGGAACATGGCCGCTACACCGGACATTTTGTTGAATAATCTCGTCTTTATTTTGTTAGGCTTTGGGTTATACTCCTATAACCATTCTCAACCTACCATAGTTGTGATTTTTTTTTTTTTTTTTCAACTATCTATCGGTCCTCAACGAGGTGAGCTGTGGGTGGTAGTGAGTGGGTGGTTTGTGGTCATCTTAACCATCTAGACTACCATCAAGGATGATACCTTAGCAAACAAGATCATCTTAGACAATGTTCTACTAGTTGTTCTCTCCCGGATCTTGTTCGCTGAGGCAGCTTGTGTGTTTTATTTTTTATACAGCAATTTTGTCCAAAGTCGCCAATCAAGTATGCACTGACTAGACTTTAAAGGATATCTGCATCTTTGTGGAAAGACAATGCCAAGATTTCTAAGTTGAACATAGATTGGAGGTAGATTTTTTCTAACTTCATACTTTCAAGGGGTGTCAGACTTAGTCTTTAGGGGCCTTACTGATGTACAGAAACATTAATATTGTCCTTTTTGCTTCCTCAATCTTTGTCGTCCATAAAACTTTTTGAAAGAATACTTGGAAATTTACGCAACAAATACACAATTGAACAAGGAAATCCATGGTAAGGATGAACAATTTTTGGCCACAAGCCTGTCATGGAAATCTGTAAGAAACACGCAACAAAACATAATTGCACATATAAGATATTCGATTTTATAGACTTCTGCCGAAGCGCCCAAAATGGTCATGTTGTATACATCTTTGCATTTACAACATTTGTAACTGTTTTTCCCCAAAGGGTACGAGATACCAATTCCTACAGTCTCATTGACTGAACAATCTAAATCTTGTGCTTTTGTGGTCTCTGTTCTTATTTTTCTGTTTGTCGCGAGTTGTTTTGGTAGACTAGACATCCTGTAAGCTTGTGGGAAATCTGAGACCTTCTGTAGTATGTGTGTTAAGAACTGCTTTATGCTTTTGTAAATTGCAATAAACTTACTTATGCTTTTGTAAGTAATTGTTCGTGATCGGCAAATGCTGTATTGTTGTAAGCTGCAACTAATTGATTCAAGTTGAACATTGGGTTCTTGAAGGGCCCCTCCCCCAAAATAAAAAAAAAAGAAAAGAGAAGATTATTCGTGCTATTAAAATATAGAAACCTTGGTAGTCTTCTCTTTCCTTGTATATGGCTCAATCGATTTAATTTTTCCTTTCTTCATAAATGCTGTTTGATATTAGTTATCTGAAACACAGGCTCCTGTTTTTTGCAGGGTAAAGTGATGAATTGTGGAGGTGGTGGAAGCTGTGGTACCTGCATCGTTGAGGTACATGTATATAAGTTTTGTTCTCAACTTCTACTCATTCTCTGAAGAAGATATTGCTTTCTTGTGCATTGCATCTGCTACTTTGGGGCATTATCATTTCATTCTTATATCATCGTCCTAGCAGTTTCATGCTTACATTGTTCCCTCGAGTTCATCAAAATCTTGTTTTTCCTCTTGCAGATTATTGATGGAAAGGATCTTTTAAATGAAAGAACTAATGCAGAATTACGATATCTTAAGAAGGTAGATTTTCCTGTTTTCCTTTTGAACTTATTCGAGAAGTTATTAGCAGATCATGTATTATTTCACAGTCTTGTACTCAATTCCTTAAAAACTTTTCTGCATAGTTAGTCTTGTGGTCTTTGTATTCTACCCTTAGCTTGAAAAATTAGCCATCAACTCAAATGGCTTATGATTGTATATCTCATTAGTTCTTGTCTATGCTGATTTTACATTACTAATTAAAGCTGGGTATGGAGTTCAGGATCCTAGTTTCTTTGAAAATCAACTTACCTTTTCTTCTTTTACTTTCAACCCTTTAAGTTTCTGAGCAATCACTTCTTGTGCAGAAGCCTGAGTCTTGGAGATTGGCTTGCCAAACAATTGTTGGGAACAAAGAGAACTCCGGAAAGGTATGGTGGTATTTATGGCAGTTGAATTCATCATTTCACCATTCATCTTTTTCTGAAATTACGATGTTCTGAAGAAATGTTATTCATCCTGAGTTAATGTGGTTCAATTAATTTATGCAAAAGCCTTTTTCCTGCTAAAATTATGTTTCAGGTACTAGTTCAGAGATTGCCGCAATGGAAAAAGTGAGGATCTCATCTGGCCTGGTGTAGTTGAGTGGGGAACATCCCCACCGGTATACAAGTTAGTGGCTGTAATGGCAATCTTTGTGCTGTATTGTCATATCTAGACAATAAAAATACCAGATCCATTCATTTATTCAATATTTTCCCATTTAATCCGTAAGCATTTTGCTCTCAAATAGACTGTTGTGGTTCATTGCTCGCCAGAATTACATAAAAAATTATTTGTGGCGAACTTGAATGAGCAATTTGACCATCAAATTCTGGGGACCTCCAACAGGTCACTGATTGGTACTGGTGACTAACAAGCACCTGTCACAGAAGCAGGGCATTGATGGTCCAAAACTGCAAATGAGATTCTCGTATGATTCACTTTTTTTTGCGTATCAATTGTGTTTTGTAAATGAAATAGGTATGGTTTTTTTTTTTTTCATTTTGAATTAAAGTATAATGTGAACTTATCAGATTAGAAAAATTATGATTAAGAAACTCTTTTCCTTTCTTTCCATCTTAGAAGTTATTTAGGAAGAAACAATTCATTAGCTGTTGATGGTCGGGGCATGGAAGTATTAGGCAGTTAAATGGAATAGATTCAACTTTTTCACATTGTGAATTAAAGTATAACATAAAAATTTGATTAGAAAATTATGATTAAGAAACTTTTTTCTTTTCTCTCTATTTTTAGAAGTTATTTAGGAAAAAACAATTTATTAGCTGTCGATGGTCGGGACATGGAGGTATTAGGCAGTAAGTCGGAGTGTATCTGAATGCCGCTCTTCCAGCAAAGCAAATGGCACTGAGAATGCCACTCTTCCAACAATCTTCCAACAATCTTCCAACAATGGCATTCAGAGCCCATCAAACCCAAAAACAGAAAGGAAATAGATTCACTCCCTTAGGACCACATCCCATTTTTTGGCACCAACCTTATTTGCCAATTCTGATTCTGTGGTTTCTGATGCATCATCTCCTCTTTAACTTCTTATGGACTCCCTCTGTTCTAAAATTATTGTCCAGTTTGATATTTCACTTTTAGTACAATTTAACTAAAAATGAAACGTAAACTGGATAATAATTATGGGACAGGAGGGAGTATTATTTTTCTCATTTTGGTATATTCTCAAAAAGAAGTTTTGATCCCCATATTGACACCTACATCTACGGTATAGAATTATTGCAAAATTCATTACTCTATTGATCACACAAACCACTTTTGTCTCTTGTAATGCCCTCAAACCACAGATGTTTCCGAAAATGGTTATTTAATGAAGAGTATCCCTGCATCTGTGAACCTAACTCCTCTGTTGCGTTGCTACAATGAATGCTTCCAGAAAGAAGTTGAATGTTAAGAAAAGGTTCATTCCTCAAGTGCTTTCATACTGTCTTGTAATAATAATTCTTTTGATTTTTGTTACTATTAGTATTACAGGTGGATCCGATAAAAAGAAAGTTAAGTTTCATTTGTCCGAATTTGAGGATGAGGATGCTGTTTCTGGTTTCATCCAGCTGACGGAAGCTGTGGCTTACTACGCTACAGCGTTCCAACGCCTGCGAGCCGAAGGTTACTTGTTTCTGGGCTCAAAAGCTTTATGCATTGGAAGCATTAGTGGTCAAGACGTGATCGCCCTGAGGCATATTGGGGTCGTGGATGCGGTTGGAATTTCTGAGGCAGAATTTATTTTTTCACAACATGTTGGCAATCATCCATTCAGTAACGATACTTTTGATTTCGAGTTCTTTGGTTATCAAAGCTCATTTGATTGGCCAGCTCATGCTGCTGAATCTGTTTTCCAGATCTGCAGAACACTTAAGGTAGGAGGATATTTGGTGGCCCATATAGACATTAAAGATGAGTATAGTTACAACTCTTTCATTAATTTGTTCACCTGTTGTACTTTGGTAGCATCGCGCGAGATCAGAAATCGAGCAACATCTGCGATGCCTTCCTCACGCGAAATTGTTCTGAAGAAAGAGGGAAAGTTTTCTAGCCATCATCCTGCAGGATCATACAAATGCAGGATTCCTGAATACAAAAGAAATCTGGTGAAAAAGATTGAGGCACTGGTGAGGGAAGAACCAAACGGGTCGTGGAATGCACTGGACGAGAGCGAGAACAGTATTCAGTACCTCCCCACCTTAGTCGATTTGAGTTTCAAGGAGAGGTACGTCTATATTGATCTTGGATCACGAGATTACAACTCCAGCATCGGGAGTTGGTTCGAAAAGGATTACCCGAAACAGAACAAAACGTTCGAAATCTTTGCAGTTGAAGCAGATGCATCCTTCTATGAAGAATACAAAACTAAGAAGGGGGTGACCCTCTTGCCTTATGCAGCCTGGGTGAAGAATGAGACCTTATTCTTCGAGATAGATCGAGAACCTACAGAGGTCGAACAGCGCTGGGAAGAGATGGGTAGGATTCAACCAGAGCAGTCATTAAGCCAGCACAAAGACTATGTGGACAGGCTTTACAAGGTTGAGGCATTAGACTTGTCAGATTGGTTGATAAGAAGTGTTTCGGAGAGGGATTTCGTCGTGGTGAAGATGGACATTGAGGGTGCCGAAGTTGATCTGATGAAAAGCCTGGTTGAAACTGGTGCAATTTGTTTGATTGATGAGGTGTTCTTGGAATGCCATTATGATCGTTATGTGAAATGCTGCTCTGGTGAGAGATTGAATAGGTACAAGGTGGATTATGGTCAGTGCGTCCACATATTTGAAGAACTTCGAAAAGATGGATATTACGTGCATCAGTGGTGGTAAATGCAATGTAGCTTTTCCTTTTCTTTTCTTTTTTTTCTTTTTTCCTTTCCATTTCTTTTGATAGTCCCGTTTTGCAAAGCATTTCAATTGTCAGATACTCATTCTAAAGTAGGGAGTATAATGTTTAATTGTGCTTATTTTGAGACGGACAGAGTATAATGTTTGATTGTGCTAATTCATCCTTCAAACTCAACTCAAACGTTCAATTCGTTTCAACACTATTTAAGTTTAGGCATTTTTGTATTAACATTTTGTATATGGCATGGGTTCTTCCGAGACATATTTGTATTAACATTTTGTATGGCACTCATTTAATAATTGACTCGTGTGATTAATACTAACACTCCTATTTGGAAAAGTACTTAGACATTTGTGAATCACTAACAAGTGTCATATCGAATGACAAAATTGTCCCCGAAATTTCTTTGATAAGATCAAAACCATAATTTTTTAAAAATAACTATGTCAACTGATCTTTGACATATCTTGACGATCTATTTCAAAATAATCAAATACCACAAATTATTAGAAACATTACTTGTAGATGGCCGGAATGTAGAAGGTGTGCTTTTTGAGCATGATGATTCCTTTTCTTCTACTTCTCTTTATATATATTTCTTTCATTCCAAAAGGATAATACTATTAAAATTTTCATTTTTAATACAAATTAAACTAAAAAAAAAATTATTTTATTTTTTTTGGTTGCGCATGAAACGCACATTATGCATGTACACCTTTTTTTTTTTCTTCCTTTCTTTTCTTTCAATTGTTTGAATAAACTAGCACTTTCTCCATTTCAAATAGTTGTCTAATTTAGTTTTTATTTTTGAAATAAATTATTCTAAAATTGAAAATTCAAACTAGATAATTATATTATGACATATACAGCATTATCAATTGATGAATAAAAAGACGCACAATTCACGAAGACAACATATCATCAAAAAGAAATTCTATCACAAAGTATCAAAACAATATAAAATCAAAGAGTAATGATTGACACAATGACATATTATAGTGAAATAGAATAGTGACTAATGAAAAGACAAATACATTATCCTCATTAAATACGTGTACTTATTAATTAAGGATAAAAATATAATTTTTCAGGGAAAGATAAAATTTTAACGGAAAAGTGCCAAAAAACTAGAGGTCGAGAATACTCTACATCACTCGTTATCTATTTTCACTATTTTTTTTCATTATACATATCATTAAATATTTCATCTCTTCTTGTCCCATTTGATTATTTGTCCACATTGATTTTTTATTTTATTGCTGTTATTTTTCTACAGGTAATGCACCCTTTATGAAACCATCAAAATTGAACCATAATCAATGACAATGATCACTAATAAGCACTTATTGGGTAAAATGACAAGAAACTTGTAGTAGTTTTATTTCATGTAATGATTTCAAGAGGCTACGATTAAAAACAACCATTGATCATTAGTTGCTACAACAAGAAAGCAAATTAAATGGAATCATTTTTGAAACACAATTACCCAAAGGTTGCAGACGAGACATTCAAGTTTGATGCCTTTGAATCCTGCTTTTTTAGCCAAGGCTTTGAATTCAGCTTCTGTTCTTTCCTTCGGACCAGATGCAAATGCCACCCTCAGAAGATCAATTTGGAGGGTGCTCTTCTCACCTATATCGCTCTCGCTTGGATTTGCCGGAACAATTGATTCCAGCACATATAATTTTCCGTCTTCTGGTAACGCCTTGTAACAATTTTTAAGGATTTTTACGCACTTTTCATCGTCGAATAAATGTAAAATCCACTGTATCAACAATTAAGTAACAATTATTAGAATTCATTTTTTTAAAAAATAAACTAACATAGAATAGATTAAAAATCCCCCTGAGTTATAAATCTTTTCATGGTAACATTTTTTTGTTACTCCAATCTTTTAAGCACAAGAGACGACAACCGAAAAAAAAAAAGGAAAAGGAGGGTTATCTCAAAATTACCTTCATTAAAATTGCATCTCCTTCAGGAACACTTTCAAACATGTCTCCACCTTTATGCTCTACTCCTGCAATTTTAAAAAAGTTGAATTCAATTAGAAAAAAAAAAAAAGTGCGGCGGAAATCCTAAAAGTTAAATTGAAATTGAATCTAATTAACCTCCAAATTACTACCAAATAAAAGTTTTCATTCTCGAACATTTTCACAAAACACTCGAAGATAATTCACTATATCATTTCAGTGTTAAACAGAATAATTAATAATACTTACCGGGATATGACGGGGCATTCCCGACGACATGGGGTAAGTCAAAATTGATACCCTTAATGTTTGGGTATTTGGAGGTGATCATAGACAAAACTTGACCCCGAGCTCCACCCACATCTACCAAAGTTTTGACATTTTCAAAACCTTTGTAGCATTCAAGAAGCTTTTTGATGTTCAATTCTGTGTAATTTGTCATTGCAACGTTGGAGAAATTCATCAATCTGGGATCGTTTGCAATGTACTTGAACAGTGGTGCTCCATGTGTTTTCTCGAATGCAGTTCCTCCTTCCAAAATTCCAGCTTCTAATCCATACCTGAAAAAGTAGTAATAATTCATGTAAATAGATTCACTGTTCCATAGGATGTACTTATTAATGAAATTGATAGACTATATGGAGTGTACTCTCTTTCAAAAAAACAGACATTCATATTGAGTTTTGAAATCTATATTGGACCATTTGTTTAGAAAAAAAAATATTACATCTGTCTGAAAGAAATAATCACGTTGAATTAAATTTGTACAATAAAGTCAAATTTTTTTCTCGGGAGGAGTGAGAATTCTTCAATCATCACAAGCTTCTCCCTCGAAATCTTTCTTTGATCATTTCCAAATTTTTTATTAGGTGATATGAAAAAAAAAAAAAAAAAAAAACCTGTTTTTGGCTTCTGTTTTTCGTTACCCCACTTGTTTGACTACTATTTCTACATACAAGTAGAGAAGGCGTGCTTCACTTCACTTTGACTAAATCATACTGACTTCTTAAGAAAAATTGCTCAATTCTTACACTCCCTAGTCCTTACCCTTCATGGATTTTTATTTTTAGTATAAATAAAGTGTACTTAAAATAAAATTTTTTAAAAACAATTATTATGAGATAGAAAAACTAAATACATGTATCATATATAATTATAATACATATAGTTATATATTTAGTAACATGCATGTAGACAAGTAAAATATTAAAGTTTGAATTGTATAATATTCTTTTGTCTCATAAAAATAATTCACATCACAATTTATTATTTGTATTATTTTTTGTATTAGTCACAGATTACAATGTAAACTATACTTTTTGAGATAAAAAGAGTAGAGCGTAATCAACGGAAACAAGAACAGAAACGTGGTACATACCAAGTACCCATCACGTCTTTGTCGACAAGGTATGCCAAAAGCGGGCTCAGCGACGCACCACCGTATTGTTCTCCTTTAACAAAATACTTGCCGGCTGGTCCTAAACCATAACGCCTTTGCACGACGCCATCCACGACCTCGACGGAGCAAGTCACTACCGAGTTACCGGCCAAGAGTGCCAGCATCCGGTCAAGGTTCACCGCGGCCTCCTCCGGCTTCACGGTGGACAACTTGGCCGTGATCTCCGAAGCCGAGAGTTGGGAACCCGGGCCGGCTTTGGCGATGATTTCCAACACGTCGAGGCGTATGACGGCGTTTAACACCATCGGCACCCACGCCGCCGATGCTAACAACAACGCTTGGCTGAAGCCTTGCTCTTCATGATCTTCTGCCATTTTTTGTTGATGATTTTTTTTGATGAAATTTGATCAGTCGCTGGCAAGAAATCGAGTCACTTATGACTTTATACTATGAGAATCAGGCGGTCACAGCCTTCAGTCAACATGTTATAATATTTATAATGGCTAAAATTCTCACTTGGCTGCTCCTAATTCAGTCTCCAGTCCACCATGTCACCTTTGATCAATGATACATCTCAGTATCCCACTAAACATTCCAATGATAAATCTCAGTATCCCACTAAACATGCCATTTCCACTACTAATTTATCAATTACCTCTTCCGTCTAAGAAAATATGCTCTATTGTTTTAAATTAAAACAGTATAATAAAATAAATTATTTTCTTAGAACGGAAAAATGATAAATAATCTTTGATCTAAATAATATTAATTCATTCAAACTTTTAGGGACAAAAGTAACAACTTAATTTGGAACTATTTTTTCACATAGAGAGATTTTTTGAAAAATAAAAAATAAAAAATTCTTAGTCCGGAAACATGATTGAAAATATTAAATATCTGAACATGCTAATCCTATGTCCAAATTAACTATTCGTTGCAATTTGTGGAGTATTTTTTATTTTTTTGAAATACAAGAGAATTAAAAACTTTTGTATTTGAGGTTTCAAGTTTCATCTTTGAACATTCAAAAAGCAGCATGGAATTTGCTTCGGAGTTCAGAGGACAACACCATTAGCTATCTTGATTATGTGTACATTCAGAGTGATATTGACATATATTCAGTTCTTTTTTTCTTTGACTCCTCCTAGTAGTTGCCTTCTTTGACTTTTGCCTTCCAGTATAGTATATTCTGTCAGAGGCTCTAAGAAAACAATAGACTAATTTTTTTTGGAAATTGGTGTACTAAAATTGTTAATTAATGTTGAAAATTTAAACTAAAGCTTTAAATTTTTTTTTTGAAAATACATATTTAAAGTTAAATTAATTAAAATCAGCCAAGGCAACCATTTTGTTCAAAAAAAAAAAATTTTCAATCCTTTTTTTTTTTAAAAAAAAAGAGACAACTAGGATTGTAATTGAATGTTTGTGAAGACAATGCATGAGATTATGCTTGAAAGTTTACCCAAATAAAAGATGATTATCTCATAGACATCAAAGCTAGATTCCCTTTTTTATTAAAAAAATAATAATAATAAATGGTTAAAACAATAAGAAATTAAATTGCTACTTGAAAAAAAACAATCATCTTAACATAGTGACTGACGGGCACAGCTTTCTCTCTTTTACCCTCCCGTTCTCGGTGCACGTTAGCTAACGTGAGCCACGCCATAGCAAGGGGGAGGAAACCTGCAAAGAAAGCTGCGCAAGAGGATGAAGTAGTGAAGGAGGATTCGATGAGAGTAACGGCAAACAAAAGATGGTGGACCGGAAGAAGCAAGAAGGAAATACAGTGGTATATTAGCACAGTGACCTAAACCTAGGAAAATTGAGAAACTGTGAAATTGGGGAGCAATCCTCAAATTGAGCAAGAAGAAGAAATTATCGTGGGCATGTGAATCGGAGAATGAAGGAAGGGCCAACGCTTGGGACACATTTGATGTCAGTCGCATGAGAAAATCGGGAATGAAACTTGCTTTCATACCACCAAAGGAGATTGACGGAATAGCAGTCGCCAAGATTAAGCCTGAAAAGGTGCAGGAGGAAGTCATTTACTGGAAACCGTCGGTGGTCAGTTTCGTGCTTGAAGCTCATCTACCATTTCTAGTTACTGAGAGATATTATAGAAGAATCTGGAGCCACTTGCTGGCCTCTTTGTGATTCGATTCAATTCTATGCATTCAAGGGAAGAAGCCCTTCAAACGAATGTCTATCATTTTGGAAAAGGATTACCTGTAATTGTTAAACCATAGTCGGTGGAAAAGGGGATAAACTATAGGGAGGTGAATAAGGTGCCGGTATGGGTGCAATTCCCTAACCTAGAACTTAAAATACTGGAACCCAGATTCCCTGAGTTGTATTGCTAGTACTTTGGGAACCCCCATTATGACTGATGAGTTAACAAACAGAAAGGAAAAAGTGAATTACGCTAGAGTATTGATAGAGATGGAGATCCGATTAGAGGTCCCTGCTAAGGTGATGTTTGAAGATGAAAAAGGTGTCATACAGGACCAGAGAGTCCATTTTGAATGGACCCCTGTATGCTGTAAATGTTGTGCTGGCTATGGACATGAAGCTAAAAATTGTAGGAAGCAAAAGGCAACAGAACAAGTTGAACCATAGAAGGTAATTGTGCCAAAACAGAATAAAGAAAAATAATGGAGGAGTGTGGAGCAATTGAAAAAGAGTGGACAGACCAAAAAGTCAGATACAAATGGAGCAAAGAAGGGGGATGACCAACCAGACAGAGGGAAAAGTCCAGCTAAGTACTCGTTCTAAGTAACTCCTCGGAGGAAGAATTAGAAGACATCATCAGAAACCAGAGGAGAGATAAGAGAAAAGCAGAAAAAGGGAAGACATTGCACATTGACCCGGACCCTGATCTAGGCTTTAATGACTAATATATTAACTTGGAATGTTAGGGGCTTAAATGCCCCCTATAAAGCAAAAAGAACTCAGTAGAATCTCGGGTGCTAATAAGATCAATTTAGCTGGTATAGTAGAGACAAAGATAACTGAGGGGAAGGTGGAAGTTTTTATGCACACAGTACTACACCAATGGAGATATGCATTGAGTATTGGCCAGAATGGTAAAGGAAAAGTCTTGCTAGTCTGGGATGATTCAATGGACATCACTATTGATAGTACAGATGGGCAATTTATTCACAGCAAAGTATGACAAAAAGCAAATGGGGATGAGTTTTCCTTGACTGTAGTTTATGCAGAAAATGGAGAACTGGAGAGGATGATACTATGGGAGCAGCTTATAGACATCAGCAGAACTGTAGACAATGCATGGATAGTAGGTGGAGACTTCAACAACGTCTTAAAACCAAGTGAGAAACTGGATGGGAAACAAGTCTTACTCCCTGAAATACAGCATTTTCAACACTGTTTGGATGAATGTGAGCTACAGGACCTCAATCAGCAAGGACCAATGTACACCTAGTGCAACAATCAAAGTGGGAAGGCTAGAATATATGCAAAGCTGGACAGGATCATTGTAAATAGGGATTGGATGGGAAAATATGATCTATAAGTGGTTACTGTTTTGAAATCTGGTATTTCGGATCATTCCCCTATGGTGGTGAACATGGAAGTGGAGATGCCCAGGAAAACTAAACCATTCAAATACTTCAACATGTGGAAGTATGACCCTACATTCTTGGAAATAGTGGAAAATAGCTGGAAGTGAGAGGTTGAAGGTACTCAGATGTATCAAATAACCAAAAAACTCAAGAGATTTAAAGAGGGAACTGAAAATCTTAAACATGAATAAATTCTCAGGCATTCAAGTTCAGCAGTCTAAGGCACAAGAAGAACTGAACTAGATATAGCAAGAACTCAGGTCAAACCCTTTTGATGAAGAACTTCGGAAAATAGAAAGAGAGGCATACAAGAAATGTGTGATGGCTAGCATTGTTGTTGAGAGTTTTATGAGACAAACGCTCAAGGAAGATTGGCTTATGGAGGGTGATACTAATAGTAAATTCTTCCACTCAAAGCTTAAACATAGGAGAATGAGAACGAGAATATGGTCGATTATGGAAGATAATGGGGAAATAGTGAGGGAGAAGAGGAAAGTTGAGGAACATTTCCTAGACTTCTACCAGCAACAATTGGGGCAGAGAACACAAAGGAAGCCGGTAAAAAGAAGTGTTTTTCCAGGGACCTAGAGTGTCTACTGAGGTGCAAATGAAACTTATCCAACCAATTTCTAGGGAAAGATCAAGAAGACATGGTAGGGCATCAATGTTAACAAAATTCTGGGGCCCGATGGGTATGGAAGTGATTTCTTCAAAGCTACTTGGAAAATCACAGGGGATTATATCACAACAGTTGTCCAGGATTTCTTCAGCAGTAGAAAGATGTTGAAACAACTGAATTCTACGGTATTTGCTCTAATCCCTAAGACTGAAGCTAGTAATGTAAGTCACTTTGGTCCTATTGCGTGTTGTAATGTGCTGTATAAAGTTATTTCAAAAATTCTAAGTAGTAGGCTGAAAACTGTATTGCCTAAGATTATTGATAGTAATCATGGGGCATTTGTGGAGGGTAGACTTATTCTTCATAATATTTTAATGACTCAAGAGCTGATAAGATTGTGTAGAAGGAAAGGAATTAGCAATAGATGTTTAATAAAAATTGACTTGCAAAAAGCATACGATTCGGTAGAATGGGATTTTGTAGAGAAATGCTTGAATGGTTTTGGGTTTTCGGGTAGATTTGTGAACTGGATAATAGAATGTGTTAGGACCACCACATTCACTCTCTGCCTGAATGGTGATAATGTGGGTTTCTTTCCTGAACAACGGGGACTCAGACAAGGAGACCCTGTATCTCCCCTAATCTTTGTCCTTCTAATGGAGTATCTAACAAGACAGCTGAAAATGACTGCTGGGCACCCTGGATTCCAGTTCCATACAATGTGCAAAAAGATGAGGCTAACTTGATCTTCTGTAAAGTAGATGTTCCTACCATAAGGATGATCTCGGATGCTTTCAAAGAGTTCTCCTCAACGTCAGGAATGAAGGCTAACCTGTTGAAGTCTGAGATATACATGGGGGGAGTAGAAGAAGGGGTGAAACAGGAAATATGTGGTCTCACAGGCTACCAGGAAGGAAGTTCCCAATGAAATACCTAGGTGTTCCGCTTTCACCAAAAAAGTGAAACCAAACAGAATGCCAACTGTTGATTGATAAAATGGTGTGTAGATTGAAGTGTTGGTGTACAAGGCATATCTCGTATGCCGGAAGGTTGCAACTCATCAATTCTGTCCTGATGAGTATGCATACATACTGGGCATCAGCCTTTATACTCCCACAAAGTATCACAGAGGCAGTTAACAGGAGGTGTAGAGAGTTCCTCTGGGGGTCAGGGAATCTAAAAGATATAGTGCATTGGTGGGGTGGGAGTAAAAGCAAAACAGAAGGGGGCCTTGGAATTCGGGATGCTAGGATATGAAATGAGACTACCATTTTGAAACAAGTATGGTGGATAGCAAATAAAAAAGATAGTCTTTGGGTCAAGTAGATTCATGAGGTATATCTAGAAAAGAAAAACTTCTGAGAAGTACAACCCAAATCAGACAGTAGTTGGTCCTGGAAACACATTGTGAAGTTAAGAGATAAAGCTAAAAATTATTTTCAGGGAGGGAAATGGCTTGGAAATAGGAAGGGGATATACACAATCTCAGAAGGGGAGATCATATGAGAATGGATGCTGCAAACATGATTTGGTCCAGATTAAACTTTCCCAAACATTCATTATGGCTTGGCTTGTTTGACAGGGTAGAATCTGGACCAAAGATAGACTAGCACAGATTAATGTACCTGTTCCTGATGATAAATGCTGCTTGTGAGGAATGCAGAGTGAAAACATTGAGCATCTCTTCTTTGCTTGCCAGTTCTCTAGTGTACTCTTGGACAGGATGAGGACCTGGCTGCTCATCAAACCCCTAACAATGCAACATAACAGATGGAAGGTAGAACTGAAGACGATTTGGAAGACTACCATATTGAAGAAATAGATCTTATACGGCGCAATAATGGCAACAATCTATAGCATTTGGGAGGAACGTAACCACAGAACCTTTAGAGCAAAACAGAGGCAGGTTGAGGAGATCTTTCAAGGAATCAAGAATCTACTTAAAGTCAGAATCCAACACTGTAAGAAGAGGAAGAAGACAGCCCAGGAAGAAAGCATCATCCAAAGATTTTTTTGTTAAGCATGGCCTATTTAGTGAATTCATGATTCGATGTCAACCACCTCTGATAGATTGGGTGAAAGTTAATTTGGATGGTAATTTTATCAGTCAATAAGAAATGATGAGTGTTGGGATTCCGTCAGAGATTGTTGTGGTAAAAGCTTAAAGGATTTACAATTGAGATGATATAGGGTTTTGTTTACTTATTGGCCCTGAGTTGTAGTGATTATTTTAGAGTTTGTCACTTGGGTGAAAGATTGGACATATCAAAGTGATGAGAGTATTATTATGATAATAAAAAGAATGAAGGAGAGTTTCAAAATTAATATTGGATTTGTTGGAGAGATCATGCAGTTGTTGAACATAGAGTGAGTGGTCGAGTTCCAACATGAGTTCAGAAAAACGAATATTGTAGCTGATTTTCTATTTTCTTTAGCGGCACAAAGCCCCGATATATTATAATGGTTTGAAGCCTCATAACTAGAAGTTAAACCATGACTACAACATGATATTATAGGGGTTGTTTATCATTATATTGTATTTGTCTAGTTATGAGGAAACTTCTTTTATTTATTTTGTTTAAAAAAAAAACATAATAATCATATATCATATGTATCCTATCATTTACACGACTTGATTGAATATCGTTGAGTGTATTCATACAACTCAACCATTTTTAATTTATAATCTTATAACCAACTCATCTCAATCAACTTTGTCAAGTCACCTCTTCCAAAAATAATACATACCTAATAATTTCCGTCCCAACTTTTTGACAGAAAACTAATGAAGTAAAAAAAAGCTTCATCTCTACTGAAAACTCTTGGATTTGTCGTAAATGAAGTTTGAGTGGCAACTCAAGAGCTGATAGATTAAACAATAATCTTTTTGATTACCAGTGCAATCTCTAACAAAATAAATTAGATTGAAAAATAGCATCAAGGATTATGTCCATTTGAATGTTTAGTCAGAGAATCAAAGGGTTAGTTGACACAAATTAAATCATCATATATAAGAAAATGGTTCATATAATTAGAGGACAATGGCCTTTCAAAAAAAATAAAATAAAATTATAGGACTATGTTTTTAAACTCTAATTTCTATTCGTAGTCTCCGGTCATCATCAAAACTCTTAAGGTCTTAATTAACGACCAATTATTAATTGCAAGTCAAGTACCACAAAATTGTAAGCCACTCCTCCTCAGGCTCCCTCTAAATCGCATCTAAGCTATAATGTCGTTTCAAATCTGAACCGAAACAGCAATTAACTACTACTACATGAAATGCGAAAAAACATAATCAACGAAATAGTTTTATTTCCAATTCTATTCTAAGCTATAGAAAATTTCACCCCAAAAATACATAGAAGAATAATCATGGTGTTGTTAAGCTTCATCATCCCACACCATCTTCCATGCATGGAAACACTTAAATTACATACCAACGAGGTGGGCTACTGAAAAGCAGTTGAATCCAATTATATTAAATTAATTTAACTGTGAATTTAGTAATTATTAGAGACAGCGAAGATAGACACTCAACACTCAGCAACTTCGAATTAGTAACTTTAAGTAATTGGAGTTTACAGATTTGAAATCAAAACTAAGTTCTTGCAAAGTAAAATCGACTTGGAGCCTTAAATTTTTCTTGCTTTGAAACAATAACTAATCGGGCTTTTTATTTCACAAAGCCGAATAAGTTTTTTAATCTTGGTGTTTAGCTAGGGTAAATTATTCGTTCTATCATAATTTATGTCCTAAAATGTATTCTCTCCGTTCCAATAATTATTGTTCAGTTTGGGTTTTCATTTTTAATACAATTTGAATTAGAAATGAAAAGTAAAACTGGATAATAATTATGGGACGAAGAGTATATTTTATTTTAACGTACTAAATTGTCTAATTGTTTTAAAACGTGCAAAATCGAACATCGGAATTACTCAGCCCAAGAAGCGTTTCAGCTATAAGTAGTAGTGCAATGAAACAATGGTTAAGCCATTTTTTATTTTTATTTCTGATTACCTTAAAAGTATTTGAAACTAGATTTTGTTTTTTTTTGACAAATTTGAAACTAGATCATAAAAGGGGCAAGTAACTATTACTCAATGTTGATACTCAGTTCTTCCTGACTCCTTCATTTATATTTTTTTTTTCCTATTAATTAAAATAATTTTATTTTTGCCGAGCCATGAACTAATTAAATAACCATTCGAAGAGGGTGTAAAATTTTCTTTAGAGCTTGGGGAATAGTTTCGCTACAGTCTAAATCAGAGGTGGGTTGAGCTTGCATGCAAAGTCCAAACTACCATGTGCCATTTCTTTCTTTTTTTTTAAAATTTCAAAAACAGAGTATAAAAACACCCAATTCGTAATTCACCGGGGACCGCATAATACATTTCGTATTTTCTTTTCAAGTGGACCAAAGTCCCGACCCGAATAGATCCCAGTCTTTCATGTTTAGGTCAAAAAATATTACTATTATTATTTCAACATAGAGAATTTTAGTTTTTTTTAATCAATTAATTAAATTATGGGTTTTCAATAACGCATATGATAGAATCTGACACTAAGCGAGAGCCGCCCACGAGTACTGAGATTATTTGGATGCGTAAACTAAGTGTTAATAGTTTTGTAAGTATAATAATCCCAACCAATCTTGATAGCTCGATATTATTAGAACATATTTTTTTTTAAGGTTCTTTTATACTCCCTCCGTCCCACAAAAATAGTCCACATTAAATTTTAAGTTTTGTACTTTTTTTAGTACAAATTTAAAAACTCAATGTGAACTATTATTTTAAGACGGAAGTAGTACTATATATATACTCTCTATCTGCATAGAATTATTCAGTTTTGTACTAATTTTAGTATTATAAATAAAACAATCGCTTCCGGAACATAAACAGAATAAACTAAATCTAAAAACAATTTTTTTTCTTGATGAGTTCAAACTTTAATGTTAGTATCTTGGAGAAAGTAGGACTTTCATTCTCTAAATATACTATTAGTATGATAAAACTCACCCTGAAATGGGATACATTTAAATTATATTTAATATTTTTGTATCGTGATCTCTGAATAAAACACTTGTTAAAGTGAGCTTTTGACACGTGAACGTCAATTGAAACGATCGCCTTAATCACTTTGAACTTGTTCCAAAATTGATCACCTTCAACATTCACTCATAATTTTTATCTGATTGGATTTTTGTAACACATACATACTACGATCTAATTTATTTGCATACATAATGATATTGTATTATCATTTTTTTAAACAATTACTTGTATATGTATATTATGTTTCCATCTAGATATTTTCGCCTCTCCTTTAACAGACACCTTGGCTAAAAATGTAAAGAAATTTGTTAACATTTCTATGATTCATTCCAACCAATCTCTATAGCTATCGATGTCACTAAAACATGTGCTTTAAACATACCAGCTCAATTTCATGCACATTCACCAATTCTATTTTGATTTGAATACTTGAATATGTCACTTAACGGCAACATGTTCTTTTGGGTAAAATCACACAATTATTATCATTTATATGATTATATCTTCATTAATTTCTTGCAATGTCTCATATACTTATAACATTATTGTCATATAATATCTCAAACAAACTAAAGAAATGGCAAAAAACAATATTACAAGCAATTCAGTTACACAATTTTTATATCATTGTTTCTTTATACCTGATATACGAGAAATTTACCTCATTATACTCTTCTTTAATATGCAATATTATGAGACAAAAATATAAAAAAATAAAAATGATTAAAAAAGATAAATACATACACACTGACAAAACGAAACAAACACCGTGCGTAACCACACATTTTAAACGTTCCTTGTGTAAATTTCCTTGAATAGGCTTCCCTTTTTGCTCACACTAATTGCTCGAAAACCTTTTTCCTTCGCTTTTGACATCTGGGGCATATTACCCAATATAAATAGCAAAATCAATGGAGCTATATAAATCACAATATACCAAAAAAAAATAATCCTGTGCAATGTCCAAATCTCCTAATCCTCTCAAATTTGTGGCTGGGAACTAAGCAAAATCATTTCTTACCAAAATAAATTTTAAAAAGAAAATTCTATTAAATTCCTGGGGTGGGTCCATACGAGGGCAAAATCGTAATTATACCATCACTCCCTAACTGGAATTAGCAAAATCAGGGAGCGTAGTAGAACCTTACAGATTTTCTCCCTTTTCAAGTTTGAACTGTTCTTTCATCCCGCCTTTCCCACACCACACTCAACCCCCCTCTCTTCTTTATCTATAAACGATAAAAAGCTTATTTATATATTTACACACACTCACACAGTGGTCACCTCACTCACTCCACCCACTCCCCCCTGCAAAAGCATTTACTTTTTTACATTGATCTCCATCGCCGTTGAAAAACCCTAGCTCGTTCTCCGAGGAGGAGGAGGGCGACGACTGACCGGAGCCGGAACCGGAAATCGTTTAATCGTCGCGAGCTGCATTCGAATTTGAATGGCGAGTAATCTTATTCAGCTCAGTAATTTAATTTTTGGACATTTGTTTGCATGGAAAATGCTGAGCCTTCTTGTGGTTTATACATTTTCGTTAGCTGCGATGTGGTGCTTTCAATGTCGGAATCTGATTTTTTTATTTTTTGAATGTTTTAAGAAAATGATTTTGTTTCTTCTTTTGGAAACAAAAAAAATGAGAGCTGCGATATTTGAAATTTGGACAGCTGTTACTTTTTTAAAACTGTAGATCTGTCAGTTATTGTTCTTATTTTTCTGGATCTTTTCTTCGTTATTTGTAATTAATGTTCTATAATTAAGCTTTGCAAAACGTCTTTGCTGCAATACGGTGCATTTTGTATTGATTTATGTTCTGGAGTGAAATATCGGTTCACTTTTCAATCTATAATGAGTTCAAGGTGAATTTGTCCTCTGTATTTGCCATTAGATTGAAAGAGAAAATATAGCTAATAAAGAAAGGTTTTACTGCTTTGGGAAAGCAGTGCGTTCTAGATTGATTTGAGTTTGGTGAAACTGGAAATTTCACTGCAGGTTTGAAGATTTTGAGAGCAGAGTTGGACTCGAAGCCCTGATGTTATGGATCTTTTAAACTTATGTAGACAATGCAGGTCAGTGTTTCAATATATTTAACTAGTGAAGTATGTCTAAATGATATTTCGGTTGTGTGTCACTGATTTAGATTGATAGTCTATTGGATTGTTATGAATAGGAAATTTTTGAATCTTACTTATTGCATACAAAGACAGTCTTTCTGCTAAGGCCATTGAAGGATTTTGATATCCGTGTTTTGTATTGTACGAGTACAAAAATCGACTAGCTGAATGAATTATGTCTCAACGCTAAGCAGGCTTAGGTAACGTAATGTGAATGAATAAAGAAATCTGTTCCTTTTCTGTTGCTTCAAGCTTAAGTTGAATTTCATGATTCCAGCGGTACTTTTTACTAGTTGCATTTGGAAACTGATTTGTGGTACAGAGTTATACAAAAGTAGTCTGTTACAGTACACCCTTTGCCCTCTCATACTTTGTTCTTCCTGGATTTTCCATCTGTAGTAATGTATAGTCGAAATTAGATTGTAAGAGGGAATGGCTGTTGCAGTGTTTTGAATTCTGAAATGACCATTCGGATCTTCAGAACACTTGCTTTTCTTTGTACGATTTCAGTTATTCCAGTTTCTCGTGTTCCATATGTTATAGCTGAATCTAACAGAGAAAAACATATGGCATGCTACACTGTGCTTTAATTTGACATATAGTGATTCAACATCGGTACCTTCCTACTCATAATACATGTTTTCTTATCTTCATGTGGGATTTGAGCTGCGCAGCAACGTAAATGCCGTGCAAATTTGAGTAAGGAAAATAAACACTCCAAACTGGGAGAATCCACAATGAGAATTACTCGCGCACGGGCTAAGGAACTTATCCAATCTGGAGGACTGCCACCACTTCACCCATCCTCCAAACAGGATGAGAGACAGGTCCTTCGTCCCACCTCCAAGAGAGCTGCATCAGAGGAAAATGAAGCTGCTAATAACAGTGTTGCTGGTCGTCAACGTAAAAAAAGAGCTGTTCTCGGGGATGTTACCAATATAATTTGCAAAACTTCATACACAAATTGTATTGATGTGCCCAAAGTTCAGGTAATGATATAACGCAATGTTGCTAGTTGAAGTTCATTTCTCATGTACCTCATTTTAGGAGTGTCAGAGAGTGGGTATCTAGATAATATTCATTTCTCATATTGTAGGTTGCCAAACCTGCTAAACAGGATAAAAAGGGCTCCGCGAGAAGAAAGGAGAAGGTAGTGCCTGCTGTTATTGGGAAAAAACCTAATGACAAAGAGGAGAAAGGCATGAATAATGTGGCATTTGTAAAATCAAAGGAAGATCTTCACACCTTTGAAAACCCCAAAGTTCATAAGCTCAGAGAAACAGTTAACACAAAAGAATGTGGTGAAGAGACTCTCATGCCTATGAAGCAGAAAAGCAAGTATGTTGGACTCCGGAGGCATCAACAAGGTTAGACATTTTGACAACGTTTTCATGTTTCTTTCAAGGGAAACGAAGGTGTTTGTCGTATGTTGCTTGAAAATGCAAAATATATTTCTCTGTTGCACAACACAAGGACTCCATTCATAATATCATCACAAGTATAGAACTCTGAAATGATCTATTCTGGGACAAAAGATATAGTCTAATCACCAAATCTAACATTGAAAATCTGTGGGGTGCTAATTTGTCGGTCTTAGCACATAAATTGTTGGGTCATATGAACAGTCCCAAATATGAGTTTAATACATAGCTACCACTCATATTCTGTTTATTTTTCCTTTTTTGATTTGCCTGATCACAATAGAACTTTTGAAGTAAGAAAACAGAAACATAAAGTGCCAATGACTGGCTATGATAAAAACCGATGAATGTTCTCTGTCTATGTGACGTGTTTCCTAGGAATGTAGAAGAACGTAATCAACAAAAATAGCCTGTACAATAACTGTTTTATTTTCTCAAGCAGAAGGAAGCAAGTCTTGCCAGGAAGAAGGTTCTGATGATTACAGCTTTATCGACATCGACGGAAAGACTAAGGATCCATTGATGTGTGGCCTCTATGCTCCTGATATTTATAGAACTATGAGTGCAATTGAGGTCTGTAATACTGCAATTTGCTTGAAATGGTTGATTTAACTGTTTTCTTCATACTGTTTTCTTCATTCCAACAAAAAATAAGATTTCTGATTATAATTTCAACAAAAGATGATGAAAACAAGCCTACTTCTCTCTCTCTCTCTCTCTCTCTCTCTCGATTCATTTTTTCTTTCTGCATTATGATTTCAAAGAAAATTTGATGTCGGAGCAATAGTAACAAATTCCCATTTAATAGCTTGGACGACGGCCTTCAGCCGATTACATGGTAAAACTGCAGAAGGATATAACTCACTCCATGCGAAGCATCTTGATTGACTGGCTTGTAGAGGTTAGTTTGCTTGGATGAATCTCATGAATTTCTGTAGTGCCATTGTAATTTGTAAACTTGCCTTGTAATATACATTGATTTTGCTGTGCTAAAATTTTAGATTCACCTGCTAGCAGTCAAAATTTTGAGTAGTACTTTGTTAGTTCTCCTGTGGGCTTGTTTTTCACTTTATGTTTGGTTTCTTGATGTGGAATTGGAGTTAGTTCTGTGGATATTTAAACAAACTGTACTGAAAATGGCCCTAATTCCTATTTGATTCCATTTATAACGAGAATCCAAACAAGGCCCTAATACCTATTTGATTCCATTTATAACGAGAATCCAAACAAGGAGTGTATTTAATGTAACTTGTACAAGTATTTGCCAAATAAAATTGGCATCTGCTTAAGTCTAGTTGCATACTATCTTTAAAGCTCTTTGAGATTTGTTTCCAGACATTTGAAATGGTTGGCGACATTAATGATTTTGAGCTCTGAGCACTTGTCAGATTCATTTATCTGTGGATAGTGGTATCGAAAGTCAAATGCCTGCAAGTAGTCATGGTCCACGTTCATATCTTAAAATCATCTACTAAAATTTTTTCCGACAAAGCTGTACCAAACAATCAAACAGAATGTTTGCATGTTTGTAAATGCATGATTAGATTTAAATTTACCCACATTTCATCCTCTCTCTCCCTCTCTCTCAGGTCTCTGAAGAATATAGGCTCGTCCCTGACACGCTTTATCTGACTGTTAATCTCATTGATCGCTTCCTTGCTGGAAATTACCTGGAGAAACAAAAGCTTCAACTGCTTGGAGTTACCTGCATGCTCATTGCTTCGTAATGTCCTACTTTTATTACTTCTTTTTTTTTTGTGGTTTATGCACATTAAGCATTCTTCCTTGCAATTTTGAAGTACTACCTATGATCAATATGGCAGATGGGCAAATATATGTCGAAAAGCCATTGAGTTCATCTTGGTCTTGATGTTATACTGTTAAAATCAATGCATTGTTTGGTTCATGTACAGCAACTTAAGTTATAAAAGCACTCTTTGACTTTGAATACTTGAGATTCTTTAGTCCATCTTTGAGTGACTTTGTACAATACAATCACTGTGAGAAAAAAGGAAGCTTTTTATGTGAAAAGTCCTAAGGTGTTAAACTTCACTTGTCCCACCTTGAACCATTGCCCTGCTCATCTTTTATTTTTTGTTTGTGATTTGTAGAAAGTATGAAGAAATTTGTGCTCCTCGTGTGGAAGAGTTCTGCTTCATAACTGACAACACCTATGCAAAAGATGAGGTAATAAATTTCTGTTTCAAGTGTTAAGAGTAATGTTATGCAACTAAGCTGAAACTGACAAGGGAATGTCTTATTATTTTTTCATTTTTTAGTTCAGACACCACGTTATATACGATTTTGCCATTTAATCAAATTACAGTCCATTGTTCAGAACATTGTCCTACATTCTGATCGAGTTTCAGTCTGCAATAGGAAATTCCCTGAGGTTTTCTATATCTGAATGAGCTGAACTAAACATGTTTCATGGAAGGCAACAGTCATGACCATCTAGATTCTTTGTTGTATTCTTGTACATATCTATAGATTTTTTTCAGTTCATTTTCCTTTAACACACCTTAATCTTAGTTATTTCCTGTAGCTTTTCAATGCTCTAATTATGATATTTACCATGGTGGCTGATAAGAAGTTCATATTACAGGTAGTGGTGATGGAAAATAAAGTTCTAAACTATTTGGAGTTTCAGTTGTCTGTTCCTACCACAAAGAAGTTCCTCAGGTACATATGCATTTTCACTTCACGAGACCATTTCTTGTTAGTGTACTTTTATTGAACTAATCAGTTGGCTGACTGTATTGCACTCTTTCCTTTGGAATTTTTAGGAGGTTTATCCAAGCAGCACAAGCTTCCTACAAGGTAAATAAAATAAAGATCCCTTGGCGGTTGGTAGCATACTAACAACTTATACAAGAGGCAGCTTTAACATTAATTGTCTCACGACAACTTTATTTGCTCAAATGTAGGTTCCTTCAGTTCAACTGGAATTTCTAGCCAATTATCTAGCTGAATTAACTCTTCTCGAGTACAGTTTCGTGAAATACCTTCCATCAATTGTTGCTGCATCTGCAGTGTTCTTGGCTCGATGGACACTTGATCAGTCTGATCATCCGTGGGTCAGTATATGCTTCCTTTTTCATCGTCCTTGAGAATACTCTACTTGATAGAAAAATTGACGCCTATGTGTTTTTTCAGACTCCAACTCTTGAACATTATACAAGTTATAAGTCACACCAGCTGGAAACAACAGTTCTTGAATTAAGAGATCTACAACTAAACACTGCTGGCTGTCGACTTAATGCCATACGTGAGAAGTATAGACACTCAAAGGTAACAGTTTCAAAGGTCACCTTATCTGTCTATTTAGCTTTTGAACCTGTTTCCTCCTTTTATTGTTTTCTCACAATCGTCAAGAGACCTCAAGAGAAACCCTAGATAAAAAAACAAAACAGGCCAGTGATACTTCTTGTTTTGTTACACTCTTATTCTGATGCAACAACTGCCCTTTTTTTGACAGTTCCACAGTGTGGCAACTCTTTCTTCTCCCAACCTCGGTCAAGAGCTGTTCATACAGGAGCCTCTTGATCAATAGACAGTATTTATTGCTCATGGTACCCGCATTCTGCTAATTTCAGTCTGCTTTTATCTAATCTTCTCGACGAACCAGCTCTACCAACCCTTGGAAGAAGCTTCATTCTTTATTTAATCCCTGTTGCAAAGGATCACCCTTGTTGTAAGTTTGTAACCTTAAAAAATCATTCCCCCTCTTTCAGACTTCTCTTGTAGCGTGAAAATGTAAAGATTAGACTGATTTTGAGGCAGTCATTCTGAAAGTGTCGTGACCTGTCCGTCACCACCTGTGTATGAAAGAAATTTAACAGCAGCAGCTAACTACTCGCTGGCTTGCAAAGTTTACATACAGCTACTGTCTAATTTATTTCAGAACAACCAAACTGAATGTCATTTTGACATTTTAATTTATCTATTTTTGTTTGGTTTGATGAGGTACAAATCACGGTCATGAGTCATTTGCAGCCATGAATTTGGAAGAAACGAATTGGTTGACACATTATTTAGTTTACATTTTTCTGGCACGTTGTTTCCATTCATCTACGTTCTACCTACTGAAGTAAAAAAATTGCTTTTGAAACTGCCCGCCTAATGTGACTACTCTAGAGTCTTAAAGTTATTAATTAACATAGTGTTTTTTACTCCAAATCTACAGATATGTTAACAGTTTTGTACCCAAAGTTAAAATATAGAGACATATATAAGTCACCAACTATTTGTGTTGAGAAATTTGGTTTAAAATTTGGATTTTGTAAGGGTTTATAATCCACACTAGATGCTTGGTCTGGGCGGATGTCCGGGCGATCTCTTTGAATTATTTTTTTTTTTACTAATTTGTATTAATAATAATAATATTTGATTGATGTGGGCAAAATGAGAAATATATCAAACTCGGTAGGGAATAAGGGTAAATGGATGATTTATGTGGATAACAAATAAATAGATAAAACTCAGAGGGTAATAAGTGTAAATATTTGTTATGCTTTAAAAATAAAAAAAAAAAAAACAAACAATTTTCAAAGTTCATTTTGGACATTGTTCATATCGAACAGATCTGGAAACTTCACCTTCACACGTTTTTCATTTTAGAAGGTGTAGAGCTACAATATTCAGAAGGAAATCTGATCTATCATTCTCAAATTCTTTGCATCTGAGGGTGATCTAGATTATCTTCATTTTGGATGGATATCCGACTGTTGCGATCAATCCAAATAGATTCAAAAAATATCTTCATATTCATTGGGTTGGAATGAGGGATCACATAGATCGAATTAGTCTGATTCATTTCAATTGATGGAAGGTCAAGATGGTCGTCAATAGGTTTTTCATATTGGATGGATATCCGTATGTTTCTGTCAGGCTATTATCATTCATTCTAAATGAGTTTATGAGCAGTGAGGTGAACGATTGTTCAATAGAAGCTTCTGAGCTGCAACTGGGCGTTTAAAGATTCAATCGATTGTTTATCAGGTAATATTCCGTTTGCTGGAACTATTGGTTTTTATTATTCCGACACAATATCTTATTCCAAATAGCAATCTAATGATTAGTATGTAGATGCTGATATTGAAATGAAATTTTTGAAACAGAATGTGTATTATAGACGACCTAACTAATACCAGTCGTTATTGAAGCTGTCTATACATGTAGATATCCTATCTCCGGCCAAACTTCATGTTGCAGAGGTAATTGAAGATTTGATTGTGGTTTTTAAGTAATATATAATGTATGAAAGTGCATATCTGATTATTTATTGTTGGGGATATATTATCAGGCTCTACAATCAGGAAATATGAAGTATTGAAAATTTAATTTGAAGATCTTTATGCTAAAAGCTCTAAGTGGCCATTCATAGTTTGACATGGGTGGAATAAGATAAAATCAGTAATTAATCTGGTAAGGTCCTGCTTTAATTTTATTTTGTTTTTCATTATTGATAAAGTTAATCGTTTTTTACAATTGACATATCATTTCTAATATAATTTGATAACACGATATATGGTACTTTGCAGAAAGGCTTTAAAGGATTATTGAGCTGAAACCATTCTTCATAAAAGATGAAAATATAAAGATCATGGGAAATTGATTAGTCCTGTCGTTTTGATGAGGTAATTCCTTACAAATCTCTTTGTGAACATGTTTAGTACCATTATTGATTAGTCCAGATAGTGTTTGTATATATTTTCTCCAGTTTCCTGATGAACTTAATAAGGTGTATCTGTTTGTGTGCATATTTATGTTCTGGTGAGTGTCAGAACTATTCCATTTGATTTAATTAGCAAAAAAGACATTTGAACAAAATAGTAATCATAACATCTAACAATAAGAAATCTATTAAAATTCACGTGAACAAAATCAGCAAACAGACTTTTTATAAAAAGGACTCAATAACACTTATAACTTTTTACCTAACATTATGCAAAGCTTCCTTGTAGACTACATTCATAGTTCGATTTGACCTTGTACCGTCATAGTCACAATCAATACTTTCAAACTTTTTTTAGATGTTACCATTGATAGTGCCACATATAACTTCCGTGACTAAATACTGGTCGTGGTAGGTAGAGTCCCACAGTAGAAAGAGACTGACCTTGACTTTTATTGATTGACATAGCAAAACATATTGCTATAGGAAACTGTCTCCTCTTCATTTTGAAAGGAATACTACTGTCAGATGGAATGATTTTCATCCTAGGAATAGGCACAACATGACCAATATTGCTTCTTGATATAATTCTTCCCTCAATCACGTAATGTCCGATACGTGTAACCTGTAGTCTAGTCCCATTGCACAGACCTAACCTTGAATCAATGTTACGGAGTAAAATGATTGGAACATTAAGTTTCAGTACCAATCTGTGATTAGGAAGCCCTGAAGCTTTTACATTGTTGAGAAATTCAAGAGTGTATATACACTCATCTGATTCACCTCCATGTTCAGAATTACAAATACAGTCTGAGTTGAGGTACTCACGTTCTTCACATGGTAATAAACTTGTCATGTAGTCATTAACCTTATCAATGACTTCATGAGTAGGTCCTAAAATTGTTCTTTCCCGGAACCAGGCTGAATTTTCGAGGTTATCTAATAAGGATGGATATATAGCCTTGACAATTACTTCGATAGGATCTCCTGGTTCTTGTACAATGACATCATCTCAGAATTCAATTTTTGCTTCACCATCATTGGGTTCATTGATCTTTCCTTCTCCGATCTTTAGCAGCCAGTCACCAAACTCTCTAATTTCTTCAGGATTGTTAGTTGTATTTCCAACACGTAACTGCATGTTAACTGTCAATCTAAGTACCTTACAATTCCTCCATAGGTAAGAAGAGTTTATAGTAGAATTGACAATATCTGCTCTTGTACCTTTTGGAATCACAGGTAATATTTGTCTGAAATCACCCCCGAGGACAACAACTTTACCTCCAAAAGGTAGATCTTCACTATCTGGATTTGAACGCCTCAGTACATCATTTAATGTCCTATCTAGAGCTTGAAAGCAATGCTTGTGTACCATAGGTGCCTCATCCTATATAAAAAGTTTTGCTCTTATAACTAAAGCACACAAATCACTTCCTGGTTTGATGGTACATGTTGATTCATCTGTAATGTCAATAGGTATTTGAAATCTTGAATGAGCAGTCTTTCCACCTACCAATAACAATGAAGCAATCCCACTTGATGCTACATTTAACACAATCTCTCCTTCTTTACGAATGGCAGCCGACAATGTCCGATATACATATGTCTTTCCAGTTCCACCACAACCATAAACAAAAACAAACTCCATTACCAATTGCACCCATAATCTGTTTGTAAATTTTCTTTTGTTCATCAGTCCGATTACCATATAGCAAATTATGTTCTTCTTTCAATTCTGATATGTTGTAGTCCAATTCATCATGAATCATTGTATTGGTTCCATCATCAATGAAAACATCTCCTGGATATGGCATACCAGGAAATTGCTTAAGGCTTTTTCTATGAGTCCGCAGAATTAACTCAATTTCCTTTAGGGCATGCATTTTTTTCTCATCTTCAGACACTTTGTAATCTATGAATAATTTATTAAGAGATTAATAAAATAAAAAACAAACAGAACTAGAACAATAATAATATAAATGAAATACATTATGTTTAAAAGTTCATGATTACCTTCATTCCTGTAAAAACGTTTCAACTTTCGAGGTATATCTTCCTGTAGCATTCCTAGGTTTGGTTTAGGACATTGTCAGGTTTAGACACAATATCCCCATCCAATAGCTCAGCAAAAAGATGTCTACAGTAACTTGCTCAACCCCAAGTTAATGCTTCCAGTATACAATCAATGTATTCTTTATCATCTTCTAGTAAACCCCTAGCAAAGCAAGCTTCCTTGAAGGTCGAATATTCAACACTATCTACTGTCATTATATCTTCATAATAGGTTGGACCTTTAACTAAATTCAGAAGCATTCTTAAATAATATGGTTCACCAGCAGCTATAGGAACCCCATGAATTCTACCAATGCTAGAACCTCTCAGTCTTGGGAACCACATTTTTTCCTTTCTCTTCCATACAAATTTGGATGGGAAATTTATGTACGTAAGATCTCTAGCTTCAGGGTATTCTCTGTTACATTCCATCCATGCAGTGAACTTAGATTCTCTGTTAAAAGCTCTACTGAACATAGTTTCAATAGTCTGATCTTCATCGTATACTACACTCTGTTGACCAGGCATATGGAAGCTTAATCGTTCAACATGATGTGTTCTATGATGTATTGGAAATTCGAAGATACATCATGCAGCTTCACAACCAGATAAATACCTACCTTCGTACCAATCTTTCACTTCATCCTTTGCAGCTTTATCATAATTTTAAGTGATTACTTCTCAGTTCACAGTATACTTGAAAGAAACTCTGTCTGAACGTTTATTCAAGTATTTGAATAGGTATTTTATAGCACCAGCCTGGTTGCACCATTCGACGTTGATATGTGCATGAAACCTAAGTGTCAAATAACGATTGTAATCTACCACCCATCTGTTATCTATGGTAGCACCATTCTTGTCAAATGATTTTCCATCATTACGCCTTCTGTAATCAGGGAACCCATCATCACCTATAGTTATTTCCTGCTTCTATTTTTTCGGAAATTTCTTTGAGCATTTTTTATCCACCATGCAAGGACTATAAGGAAATTCGTTACCACATGGACCATGGATCATCATCTCAGTAACGATATTGTACAGAACTGGATCAACATCTTTATCAGGTAGTTCAGCACTTATGTAATTGGCTATATCCTCTGGTTTTGATAGTTTGTCATCCCGATATAGCCACACGACTATATGAGTATGAGGGAGACCTGTTTTCTGATATTCTACCGTGTATAGAGCTGTAATTTATAATATAAATTAGTAGTATAGCGGGAAACTAATAATTTATCGTCAAATTATAAAATAAATTTTGAGCTGTAATAGACTGAAAAT